CCGCTTTTCTCTGCTTTTTGTATTTCATCTCAGGCTAAACATGCTGAATACGGGCATCTTTTATTTAAGCTGTCTAGCTGAACCTTCATCGGCATAGTAGCTCATTAACACCACATCTGTTTTTACTTGCAGCACTGTAAAAGACAAAATGAAAGTGAATAATTAAAGGAGAACCAAATGCATCAGCTGCATTTTCCTCAGGGGTGTAACTCATTCAAATATGTAGCATCAGTGGAATAAATTGTCAAACAAAGATTTGGCTCTTTGATCCTTTGATCCACCTGAGAAACCGCTGGCAGGGATGCTGGGTTGTTTTTTTTTCCTTCAAGATGAGCAGCTTTTAAAGGCAGTAGCAGGATTAAAGTGAGATACTGTGGCTGGAAAATGTTTCACCAAGATAAGCACATGGACTTGAAAGATTAATTTTTAACTTGGAGTTGGTTTGTGTAGAAAGTGTCTTAGGCTAAATGTGCTCAGTGATAAGGAGCTGGAGTTTCTTGCTCTGCATGATAAAAAGGGGGAAACAAAAAAAAGAATGAAAATGTAGAAACCCACTCTTCTACATCTAATGGATATCTTATTTTTAGTGCTCCACTGAATGACTTTGTTGGCTCTGCAGGTGGCTCAGATGACTTTATCACATTTGGACAGAATGCAACACTGTGACCAGTGTGGAGTTTTGTTTTGTTTTTTTCTTCTCTCCACTCTACTCTGTGTTACTGTCACAGATGGATTTGCATACACGGGGCATGACAGCAAAATGTCACTGAGCACAGTCACAGGCTTCAGAGGGAACTCAGTGAAACCCTGGTGGTTCAAATGACTGTTCTGATGAAACTATTGTGCTGCAGTCAACACACATACATGATGAAACTGGGATCAATCTGGATTCAGAATAATTGTTGCCAGTCGTAAAAAAAAAAAAAGTGTATATTCTTGAGGTCATGTTCACAAACCTGTTGAGTGCACTTCCTTACTTGTAAAACATTTACAGAGCTGTCTTTTTTTTTTTACACTTTAAAACTGTTACATCCGAGTTAGCAGTCTTGTGCACTCAGGAGTTGAATTTCTTGTCACATTACCACCACCTGTGGATCACACACATGCATGTGCACGTGCAGGATAACCGAGATCAGTTAAACAGAACAGAACAGAAGATCGCCCCGTTTAAAAACTTCCCCACGGCGCTAGAAGTCGGACCCGTAATCACATGTAAACACGTGGTTTAACAAAGAACTATAAAATTGTTCTTAGATTATTCATTGCCACTGTTACGTGCTTCCAGAGGTTTTGTTAAAAGCCTGACCTCAGCCCACAGACTCTGATGTAGAAGAAACCCACCAAAAATATTTGTTTTGTAATTCGTTACATCATCTGATAAATCCCACATTGTTTTGGGAGTGTAGCTAATTTCAGCCTAAGGTCCTTAGTCTTTTTGTTTTTCATAAATGTGCCTTATTGCACATGTTTTAGACAGCTGCTGTGGGTTGCAGCATTGTTCTGGGGATGGTAGTGTTGATCTGTGGGCTGATCTACCACTGTGATCCAGACTGGAATATCTCAACAACTGAGGTGGATTTACATGAATATTGTGCAGAACTTCTTGGTGCAGTTGTTCACAGTTGTGGTCTTGGGTGAAATGTATACCAGTATTTATTAGATTGCCATTTTGTGCACACATTTATATCCCTCTATGGGTATTAATGCAGATGTAGCACCCGCATCGGATCAAAACTTTAATTAATCCAATGAACTACTACCAAATACAACAAAATATTTCCATTAGCTTCAGCTGTTGATTGTTTTTAAATTACCAAGGTTAGCATGAGGTTGCTATGCTACTTAAGTGATAGTGCCAGCGCAGCAATGAAAAAATACTCAATCACAAGTAAAAATGAGGTAAAATCCTACTTAAGTAAAAGTATTAGTGGTGAAATTTAAAGTATTAAAGTAAAAGATCTGGTTTCGTCCTTCTGACTGGTATATTATAATAATATAATATAATATTACGAGGGTACTTCAAACATTTCTCAGGCTCACAGGAGAAAGATTGTTCCTGCATGGTCTTCTTTAAATGCGGTGCACTCCAGTGTTGAAGCTTCACTCACCCTTTTGTGGAAGAAGAAGGCCACATCTTGAGCCTCCAGATTCTCTCTCAACAGCATGCGTGACTTCATCAACACTCTGAAAATGGCAAACACGCAAGTGAGATTTCAGCTCGGGAAAGCGATGAAGTCCAACAGTGCAGGTTGGATGAGTAAGGTTCATGGGGCAACAGCTCAAAGCCACATTTGGCTGCTTCTGCCACCTGCGCTGTGTGGATGCACATGTATGTATTTTTTCTGGCACCCATGCTGCCAGATTTTCTATGTTTTTTTTTTAAAGTTTAGTTTTGTTTCTTACAGTGAGTATAGCTCATTCATACGTCTTAAGGCTCTCTGTTTGTTGTCACTCACATTGCACAACAGCTTTGGAAAGTAGAGCCAAAACTAACACAGCCATGCTTACTCTTTGTCCTCCACACTAACATAATCATCTACAAAGAATTTTGCATAGTTTTAAAGTTCTACCCAGTGTTGTTGTTGTAGTTTTTCACTGACAGGCTCAGTAATGTTCACATACTGATACACAAATCCTAGAGAGCATCAGGGAACAATATGTCACACCAAGATAAAGTAGCTGTACCCTAATAAGCAAACAGAAAAAGGTGAGACTGCTGTGACACAAGGAAAAGTAGCTTGGACAGATGATACAGACCGGAGGCTTGGACACAGAGGCAGAGATAGTGAAGCAGAGATATGAGGTGCCATCCGATGAACTAAGCAAACACAAAAGCAAGAGCGGTGTTAGCGAAAATAAGTGACAGATACAAATCCGTGGCACTGCAGCACATGGTATCCATGGCACTCATTCCAGCAGCCTGATTGATTTAGCCAACATAAAGCCTAGAGGGCTTTGGGTTGTCACACTCAGGGAGCTCATTGCCTCTCAAACTGAGACTGAAAGCCTCTTAGAAGACATGCACAATAACCAGAAATGTCATGTTTTGGTCTCCCACGCCTGTTATCAGAGACAAATTTACACCGTCTGCTCACTCCCCCTTCCTGATAGAGTGAGATCAATAACTTGGACATGAATATTTATTTCATCGTTCTCCTTGCAGTCGATTATTTAATCTTTTAAAGTGAATTTGGTTCAACAAGGTCTTCATAAACCATTTCTCTTCATCCTTTTGGTCCCTGTCTGCAAAAAAAAGAAATATATAGTTTTTTTAATATACAGTAGTGTAAGAACAATAGTGCATGAGGTCCCAGTGTGTGCAATTATTTTATTGCACTGTCTTACACAGTACAGCCTTGTTATTTGTGAAGCCTTGTTTTAGAGATTCACTTTTCAAAGGTAGACGTGTTTCTTTGCTGGAGAACGTCGAGGTCTCTGTCTCTCACACGGAAACACATGCAAACATGAAAATCACTGACAGGTGAATAACACTGATCATCTCGTCACAATTCAGCGTTCTGTTGGGAAACCTCGTGTCCCAGCGTTCATGTGGATGTGGCCTTGACATGTATCACTTAAATACAGTCCAGCATGGCAACAGTATTCTCCAACGCCAGCAGCTTCTCCCAGCAGGACAGTGCACCACACATTGCAAAAACACTCAGGAACAGCGCAACAAACACAGAAGAGTGTCCAATTCCCCAGATCCTAATCAAAATCTACACCTTTCTAGATGTGAGATGACACTGCTAACCAAAAGATTTGATATTTACATGTGCTGTTTCCTCTGAAAACCTTTTTCAAAAAACTGGTTGGGAGAACTTCAGCTGTTTATCGTCGCCACTGGGCCGAGAGAGGAGGTTAGATTACTCCAAGTGGGTTTTCTTCAGTCCAAGACTCCAAGTTCAATGAGAGAAGCAATCACTCATGGAAAGCTTTTTTTTTTTTTGTTTGTGTATTAATCTCCAGGTTCCATCATGCATGAAGCACAACTTAGGAAAACCATCGCCTCCCAGAGAGCTGAAAAACATCAGCAGTGAAATGGCGTTTTTTGGATTGTATATGGAGGTAATTTTTGTGGCAGATTTCTTCTGTAAAGCCTGAAAAAAAATCGTCATTGAACCGAAAGTGTAGTGTGTAATTTTGTTTCTGTAGAGACTTGCGCTGCAGCTTTTCAGGCACCACAGACCTTTCGCGAAAATACATTTTCATATGCATGAAACAGGAAGCATACTTGCGATGATATATGCTATCGCTCTCACTCACAGATGGCTCATTGAATGGGTTTTCTGCCTGATGGCAACAGAGGGCTGCATCTCATTCTGGATGTTGCAGCAGCACTGACTGGTTAACCTTAATGCTCTTCAGCGGGACACCGAGCCATATGACATGTTAATGTTTCATATTCCCAAACCTGAATTGATGGAGACGTATTGGACTGATTCCACTTCTTCAAAAGAAACTCTTGCAGCCATTAAAATGCAGAAGGTTTTCATGAATAATCATTACTTCACATCGTCTGTCTGCGCACATATCATTTCTGACAACACAGAGGTGGAACCAGAAAAGGTTATGGTTATTTAGTATGCTTCCCACAGTGGCAGCTACTGGCCACATAATCATTCTCTCAGTGAATGCAATGAGATGCGAAACAAAATTTATTTCTAATCAAGCTGGAACTGTCATTTATTTGGACGTCTGGGAGCCACCTACAAACACACAGCATTAAAAAGTGACTCATAAGCTGAACTCTGTACCACATAATGTCGTTGTTTTACATAATGAGATTTGGGTTTTGTGCCTTCATTTTTCCCGCAGCCTCAAACCTGAAAAGCGATTTCTAAAGCCGACCTCAAGTGAACTAATTAGTAACTTTTTAGGATGTCGAAATCCGTCACACAGCAGTGGTGAATTCTGTCCCTGCAGAGCATCAAACATTATTTTTTGACAGACGAGACAGACACCTCAGTGGAGAAGCTTTGTATTCGCATCAGGCAGACATGGAGGGGTCCAGTGACAGGCTTTTCTGCTGCAGATGGGTTCGCGACAAGATTCCCCTGACCCACAGGGAGGAACTGTACCACATCCTGAGGATGACAGGGCCTCTGGTAAGAACTGGCACTGTATATATAGCCCGTCTGTCTGTTGGGGGGTTGTTAATCTGTGCAGCGCAAGATTGATGAGTGTTTTGTTTGAAATGTCAGGAAAAATAGGCTTTGTGATTGAGTTTTAGAAAAAAAAAACTTGTCAGCATTAGGCAGCAGGTTTCAAACTGTGGCTGAACAGTGTCTGTGACCTGCCAAAACAAGAACAGTGAAAAAGCGCCATGCAAATTAGTTGCAGTTGTATTTGCTGTCTTACATATAAACTACATGTGTGTTAGTAGCTGTTTCACCTGCACCTTTGTTGATGTCTGTCTTTCTAGCTGCTCTCTCGAATCCTCAATTACCTGCTTCCATTTGTGGTTACAATGTTCTGCGGGCGTCTGGGGAACGATGTGATGGCCGGTTATGGATTAGCTTCTGCTGTAAGTGGCCGTCTGTGCCCTCCGCAGGCTTGTGGAGACTAACATTATACAAAAATGACGTGGAGACGTAATTTCAAGGCAGCAGCCAAAAAGAAAATAAATTATCCAACTATAAACTCGCAAGCTTTTCCAGTTCTTTCACAAACCTAATGACTTAATCAATATGTAGTACATTTACTCTCATGAGTCATAGAAACGTTGGTTACATCAGATTCATCAGATTATGTTTCATCTTCATTTGAGGCCATTAATGTTACCACTGCGGCGACGGGATGTGGTCTGGCGCTGGTGTGTGATACGCTGGTGTCTCAGGTTCGGAAAACTCCTATTTGACTCTCTCCAGATCCAGATTATCCCCTTTCATAAAGTGATTAACACTGTCCGTGCGCTGTTGTGCAGACATTCGGTGGTAAGAACTTACTGCGGGTGGGAGTGATCCTTCAGCGGGGCATCATCATCCTGCTGCTCTTCTGTCTGCCCTGCTGGGGTCTCCTCATTAACGCCGAGGCCATCCTGTTGTGCATGGGCCAGGAACCTGAGGTGGCCAGGTAACTAAACACACAAAAACTTGCATGTAAAACACAACATTATACTCAGATTTAAAGGTCCAGGGGGATGAAAATCTATTTTGTTGTTGCAATAAACTTGGAGGTGTAAAATAAAAGCAGATTTAAAGACATTTGCTTTTCCTTAAGCTCCCCCTGCAGCTAGTTAGCCTCTTAGCTTTTAAAGCAAGTAAGAAGTCAGCTCAGGTGCTACGCAACAGTCCAGATGAAATGAACCATCTTTGCGGTATTTTGAGCTGAAAAGACACACTTTGGGAACATGAGCGACTTTGACAAATTTGCTAAAAAGTTGCACGATATGGGACCTTAAACCCTTTATAGGGCGCTCCTTGAAATACTTGGAAAATGAAAATTTCAACCCTAGGGTGTTATTGAAGGATATTTCAAGATATGCCAATCAAGATTAATAAAGTTGCCATATGTGGTAGCTTGCCCGACTACGGTTAAAAAAAGGAATTTATAATAAATAAAAGAAAAAGTAACAAACTGCAAAGAACATTTATTTAGAAACATTTCAGTTTGAGGTAATGACACTTAGACAACCGGTAACAAAGTATTTATAAAGTGCTTGACAAGTTCATTTTGTAACATGTTTCTTGGGGTGGTGGTATTATTGGCACTAATCTCAAAAAATAAATCAAAGTAGAGTTCAACGCAAACCAGTAACAAAGCGTTTACAAAGTGCCTGGAACATTTGTTCAGTAACATTTTTCGTAAGGTGGTGATATTGGCACTAGTATAATCATTAAATCAAAGTGCACATGGTTCTTCAACCTCAAGGAGAAGCACAGGGTGGACATACTGAACGTTACCAAATACGATCACTTGCCCCATAAAGGGTTAATAAACACCATCTCTGCACTGGCATCATTTTTCATACACTTAACATTTCTTGTCATTCATGAATATCTGAGTGCCTGTAGAAACAAATGGTGAGACTGAACGGTGCATGCCATCTTAAACAGTCATTTTCATACCTTTAGTCGGATCTGAATGCAGTTTCTTACTTTCAGAATAGCCCAGCTGTATATGACAGCATTCATCCCTGCAGTGCCAGTGAGTTGTGACTTGTTTTTAAATCTCAACTTTATGCATAAATTCAATAGATTTTTGTTCTGCGATGACTCTCCCTCGTGGCTTAAGGTCAACAATTTCTATCTAACCTTATCTTTCAGGCAATGTTCCTCCATCATCTTCAGGTGTCTTATCTACAGAACCAGGTGCACTCATGTTCTGCGCACATATTCTGTTCTGTCATTACTCAGAATTAAAAAATTTGTTGTCTTAATTATTGTAATTGCATCTCCGAGGGAGGGCTATGGTACTCCATGCATCATCTGCTGTTTGTCTTCTCAGGGAATAATAATGCCACAAATGTACACCGCCGCTTTGGCAAACATAGCAAACTTGGTGACGAACTACATCCTTCTCTACTGGCTGGATCTGGGTGTGGGGTAGGTTGCATTCGCACGTCTCGGTGCAACATTTTAAATCTGCGTTAAAGAGTGCACACACCAGTCTATCACCACGTCCCTGTCTTACAGCGGATCTGCAGCAGCCAACACTCTGTCTTGGATTTACATCTCTGCTTTCCTGTTTGCTTACATTTGGTGGAAGAAGCTCCATGTGACGACGTGGGGAGGTGAGAGGTTTAATATTCACTGCCTCCCTGTGATTGGACTCTCTTCATCCTCCATCTTACTCAGGCTACATAAATGAATGTCTCTCTCCCCCTGCAGGCTGGTCTGTAGAGTCGCTGCAGGAGTGGGGCTCCTACATGAAGCTGGCCATTCCCAGCACATTGATGACCTGTTTTGAGTGGTGGGTTTATGAGTTTGGGGGATTTTTTGCAGGTAATTTGTGATTATATGTCTCCCATTAACATAGAACACGAGTAATCTATTATCAAAACAACTTGTCTGCCATGACTGTTCTTTCTTCTTTGTTTCTAATGAGCAGGAATGCTGAGTGAGGATGAGCTGGCAGCTCAACATGCTGTGATCATGATCGCTTTCATAACTTACATGGTACTGAGTGCAAGTTGAAGCATTACATTGACACTTCTCACATACAACGTCTCAGATTTAGGTGGTTTAAAAAGTAACTCTCATAAAGTATAGTTGCAGTTTAACTTCAGCACACTCGGGAGCAAGTTGTTTTCCATGACAGTGGTCATGTTTCATGTATTTAGTTAACTTTAGCAGTGATTTTGACTCCATAGTTCCCTCTTGGTGTTCAAGCTGCAGCATGTGCCCGGGTGGGGAATGCACTTGGAGCAGGAGACACTGCCAGGGCCGTCCTAAGCACTAAGATGTCATATGGGCTTGCAGGTCAGTTATAAATCTGCTTTTGCATTCAGTATCAAAAAATAAGCATTTAACATTTGATTTCTTCAATGTTTTCTACATTTCTACATGGCTGTTGCGGCCCCCTTTCACCCCACATGGGTACAATGGACTGATGTCCCTCTGTTTTTTATTTATTGATTGACTACATTGTTAACCTTCTATCATATTTTTAGTATTTGTAATATTTTATCATCATTATCACCATCATTAGCTCACTTTTTTAACTTTTAATGCTTGGTTACTGTTGTTGTCTTTTATTTGTTATTCGTTATCTATCTATCCACCTATCTATCTATCTATCTATCTATCTATCTATCTATCTATCTATCTATCTATCTATCTATCTATCTATCTATCTATCTNATCTATCTATCTATCTATCTATCTATCTATCTATCTATCTATCTATCTTTTAACAGATTTCACAGCTCTTATTTTCCAGGTAGCATGGCGATTGTTGAAGGTGTGGTGCTCGCCGGTACTAAAACGGTCATTGGCTACATCTTCACCTCTGATGAGTGAGTCCACACAGCTGCACTCACCAAACTTCACACAAGAGCTGTTAGATTACACATAACGATGTGCACTTCATTATAATTTCAGGAAAATCATAGATCTGGTGTCGCAATTGATGACCGTTTACTGTTTCCTTCAGTTCTTCGATGGCATTGTGGTGAGTCTACCAGCCTTTATTGTGTGCAAAGTAAATATTTCTGCAATTTGATTCCAAAGCCAGAGATAAATCTCACCTATGAAATTTGTATTTCTTTTATCTTAGTGTGTGAGCACGGGAATCTTCTTGGGCACGGGCAAACAGAAGATACCAGCTGTGGTCAATTTCATTGGATACTACTGCATAGGGCTTCCCCTCTGCATTGTTTTCATGTTTGTCGCAAAACTCAGAGTGTTGGGTAATTTTGTTTAACGTAAAGTTTATTGATACAAGAAGAGCACATGTGAAGCTTTCTGTGCTTTTTAACAGATCATATTGTCTTTTTCTCTGCAGGTTTTTGGCTGGGACTGCTCATTGGAGCGTTCTTACTATCCACTTCTTACATCACCATTATTATTTTCAAGCTTGACTGGAAGAGAATGACCGAGGAGGTAAGCCACCTGCTGATCGAACAGTCACTGACCTAACTTGGTTTATTTCTGAAGCGTTGGTTGCTGAGACTAATCTGGTCAAATTTAATAATTACTTGTTCGTGTTCAATTGAGGAAAAATGAGATGCTTTTTGCTTTTTCTTAGGCTGTGAAACGAGCTCAGAAAAAGACCTACTTGGCACAATTTGGCGCCGATGCCCTGTCTGACCCTGTGGGCATCAACACTGCAGGACAGACAGCAAGTAATGGGAATGTAAGTGGCCTCTTATTCCCAATGATAACAATTCTCTAAATGGCTTCTTTTTTTTTCTTAAAACAACTGTTATAAATTAACTTTTCTCATTAGTTTTCTGCGTAATATTTTCCAAAGAACACTGCAAATCCCGCCTGCCTTTCTTCTGAGCTAACATAACGGTGAATGTGATACTGTCTTCCAGTCAGTGGATGGCTACATGTCCGTGAGCAGCGAGTGCCACGATGGCAGCGCTGAGAAGGAGGGCGGGGTGCAGCAGCCGAAGGGTGGTCGTCTCTCCACCACCCAGCTGATCCTCCGCCGAGGCCTCACCATGTTGGCAGCGATTGCACTTCTTGTTGTGGGAGTGATTGTGCACTTGGTGGTGCCGTTGCCAGAGACCCTGTTAGAGGCCAACTCTACTACGGACTGGATCAATACTACAAATACCCCTGATCGCATTTTTTCCACTGTGCTGCTCCCGACACAAGAGTCAGCATAACCTTGACAGCTGTGATCATAAAATCATTGTGTTGTTTAAAAAAAAAAAAAAAAACCCTGAATTTAAGACTCTTGTGGACTCATTTTCTCAGAATTGCGTGGGGCCAGACTGTGGCTGAAAAAATTAAGTGAGTTAAGGATGTAACATAAATCTTTAATTTATGAATTGAAATAAGATTTAATAGATTTCTTTATTTGATCATTGCCTGTTTCATTTTATTGCCTTTTTGTTGTCATCTGGATTTCCCAACCTGTAATAAAACTCATTAAAAAAAAAAAGTCAAAGGAGAAATTTTTCATGAACAGAAAAACGATGTTGAACTCCTGTGCTTTTCTATTTCGCACTTGCTTGCTCAAAATCGAACAAATTCATAATCAAATTTCCATTCGATTAAATTCAGTTGTATCCATATTGTGACGGCCCGTGTACGGTGGCTGTGCGGGCGGACCCGAACGAAAAGGGGAGGCAGGAGAAACAGGTAAAAAAAGAAAAGGTTTTATTAATAAGGGTGAGGGAGTGGAGGTCACCAGATGCAGGAGTGTCAGTCGAGGGGGGTGCAGGTGGAGGTTTGTCCGTGCTGGGATCCGAGGAGGGGAAGTGCCGCCGAGGGAGTGCTGGAGAGGGAGGCGTGGAGGAACCCAGGACGGTGCGCGCAGGGACGGTGCTCGAGGTGCTTCTTCCCGGTGGAGGTTTTCCCAGTGCAGGTGCTCGTGGAAGGAGAACTCGTGAGGGTGCTCGTTGCGGTGGGCTCCGTGGTGAAGCTGGAGAGGGTTACGGCTGGTGTGGCTCGTGAAACGCTGGAGGCTGGAGTCGAAGAGGGAACGCTGGAGGCAAACAAAAACACACGAATTACTCAAGACTCAAATACTTAAACTTAGTTCTAATGCTTCTCGGAGGAGAGCAACTAAGCGGCTTGGCTGTACCACGAGGATGAATCACAATCATCTGGCCCTGGAGATCTGTAACAAGCTTGTATTTCAGGTGCTCCGCTGATGAGTTGCACCTGCCAGCGCGAGAAAGTCCTCTCCCCTTCGGCTCCGCCCAGCCTGTAGAGAAAACACACGCCCGCCAAGACACAAGCACAGGAGGCAGAGAAAAACCCACAAAACAAAGTGTGGGGTCCAGGACAAGCAGGGTGGTCATTAATGAGCCGGGAGGGCGGAGGGGGAAAGGCCGGAGGGCGAAGAGCACTGGAGGACAGCAGCAGAACCATCAGGGTGCCGGCGAGGAAACCCACTGGCAGTCGAGCTGGAGACCGGTGGCAGAAACCATCTGAAGGTCGGCGACAGACGAGATGGAGACCTTCTGGTGGTTGGGCTGGAGGCCGGCAGTGGAAACCATCAGGGGCAGGCGACAGAGGAGCTGGAGGCCGGCGGCGGAAACCATCAGGAGGCAGGCGACAGACAAGATGGATACCTTCTGGCGGTCGAGCTGGAGGTGGGCGGCGGGATCCCTCGGGAGGCCGGACTGGAACCCGGAGACGAAGAAGGCGGAATCCCTCGGGAGGCCGGGCTCGGGCCGGGAGCAGGTAAAGGCGGATACCCTCTGGTGCAGGAGAGGCCAAAACAGGCTAAAGCTCAAGAACATGAGAGACGGCGTCTGCCCGCCTGAGACCAGGAACAGGAGGCCCGGCGGCGGGACCTCTGGGAGGCTCGGCGGCGTGGGCCCGCCCGAGACCAGGAACAGCAGGCCCGGCGGCGGGACCTCTGGGAGGCTCGGCGGAGTCGGCCTGCCCCAGACAAGGAACAGGAGGCCCGGTGGCGGGACCTCTGGGAGGCTCGGCGGCGTAGGCCCGCCCAAGACCAGGAACATAAGGCCCGGCGACGGGGCCTGGGGAACGCTCGGCGGCGTCGGCCCGCCCGAGACCAGGAACAGGAGGCCCGGCGGCGGGGCCTCTGGAACGCTCGGCGGCGGGGCCTCTGGAACGCTCGGCGGCGTGG